TATAATATAATTTTATAATATAAGATATAATATATATATATATATATAATAAATTAATGCATAATATATTAATATTATATATATAATTAAATATAATGTAATATATATAATTAATATAATCAATATAATTAATACATATAATAATATATATAATTATATTAAATATTAATTAATATAATAATAATATAATATATTAATATAATATAATATAAATATGTAATATAATATGATCATAATAATTATAATATAATATAAATAATATACATAATATAATATACTATAATAATAATCTATAAATAATGTAATATAATATAATAATTATTAATTTAATATAATATAATATAATATAATTATATTAATATAATATAATAATGTAATATAAATATATATAATAATTATAATATAATATAAATAATTAACATAATATATATTACTATAATATATTATAAATAGCGGCAGATTGGCCGAGAAATGTTTTGGCGGGGAATTACGCGAACATGATCCGTCTGCGGCACCCGCTGCTTATCCGCCTCTTCCGCTCCGTTTCTCATTCCGCTTTCAGTCGGTCGCGGCTTTCCCCCGCCGATTGAGTTGTTAACCGATTTCACCAACAGAAATTTCCTGATACTTAGTGTTCGCGATTCGGATGTGACGTCACGGCGCTCGCGGGAAACGGCTGTTTGATTGTATTATGAAAATGGCCCGACATTAGCACAGAGGAATTCTCGATAGTCCAAGGTACTAGCTCATAATCGCTACAGGACGGTTGAGCACGCTAGTGTTTATTCAAGTTATATGCTAGAATTGATACTATATATATATATATATATATATATATATATATATATAAAATTATATTTTATTGTATTCTGTTGCAAAGATTTCAGCGACGAAATTTCGCTGCGGTTACTTAGCAAAGCACAATCATGTCGTTTCTAAACGGCAAAATTCTACACAAACAGTTTGGTGCTACACGTTTTGTGGATATGTGAAATCGGAAATACGCACAATTTTGCGACGGGCTATGATAATCTTGAATTTATTAGGCCTCGCGCTGCGATCAGCAAATAACGATAGACATTTTGTGTGCGTGTTGGGCTGGTGCTATTCAACGATTGCGCCATCGATTCTATATGAACAGTTTGAATTAGCATGCCATGGCGATTCAATGAACGCACTTTTTATTCGCGTGTTGTCAGAAGAGCAGTTACCATCTAAATTCATATATTCAACCATGAGGCTCGACATTTAAAACACTTGGCAAATACACACACACACACCACACACACACACACACACACACACACACACACACACACACACCACACACACACACATACACACGCGCGCGCGCACACGAACACACGCACGCACGCACAGACTCAACACACACACACACACGCGCACGCGCTGCGCACACGCACGCACGCACGACACACACACTCGCAGGCACGCACGCACGCACGCACGCACGCACGCGCGCGCACACACACACACACACACACACGCACACACACACTCGCACGCACGCACGCACGCCACGCAACGCACGCGCGCGACACACCACACACACACACACGTAACACATACACACGTGTGATGATTCATTATACATGCATTATGCAGGACAGACGGATAATGAAGAAAGGTCGCGTACTATTCCCAATCGCTTCTTCTGTCGCTATATCTATTTATCTATCTATCTATCTACTTCCCTTGGTCTCGCTCCCTCTTTCTCTCTCTCCTCTCCTTCTCTCTCTATCTCTCTCTCTCTCCCCCCCTCTCTCTTCCTCTCTCTCTCTCTCTCTCTCTCTTTCTTTCTCGCTCTCTCTTCTCTCGCTCTCACTCTCTCCCTCTCTATTCTCTCGCTATTCTTATCTCTCTCTTTCTCTCTCTCTTCTTCTCTCTCTTTCTCTCTCTCTCTCTCTGTCTCTCGCTCGCTCATAATCTATATCAATTATGTCAGCAGGTCAAACAGTCAGGGCTTTACGTTTATGCATATCAGCCACGTTAATATCTAGCAATGCATTAAATCATGCA